TTCCACGATACGAACAAAAACTCACCATAGGACGTTACATTAGTTCGCATTTTTCATTTGTTTTTCTTACTATAGTTATTTTTTTAATGTATTACTTGGCTTTAATTTGAGTATGTTTTTCGCGTTGGAACGAATTATTTGGTTTTACATGTAATCGTATGGGAAAAGATGATTCACCTTATGACATTTTCATGATACGATCTCAGTTTCGGAACGGATTAATTTCGTATCCTGAGGTACCACTGTATATAAATAATATATAAATATAAAATTGTGACGGACAAAGGGATAAAAATATTAGCGTGACCTTTGGTCATTTTACAATTTCGTCATTTTATTTCGAATTTTTATCAAGAGCTATCATAAAAATTGCTTTCCACAAACTTGCTTCCTTGTTGAGGATGATCCATCTAGTCATTAATGTGTCACCCGAAACTTTCAACAAATTTCCAGTACTGGACGCCAGGCCCTCTGCAACAAACTCCTGACCTCCTCGAAAAACCCCAGAAGGAAAAATCCCCTATAACCAGGGAGAGCGATGAGAATCCAGGCAGTCGTCTTCTAGTCGTTCAACTGGGAATGTAAGAACTTGTCCCTGCATCTTCAGAATACTACTTCTGAACGTTACCCAACCAGGAAGCCATTGGATATTCATTTGTGGACTGTTTTAATCGTCAGTTTTACCGCTCTGTGTTACCACATCCATGAAATTAAATAATCACCTTCCAACTGCCAGAATCCAGGATTACTACACCACGTCTCTTAACAAGGTATTTATCAACACATGAGTCGTTTGTGAACTCTCTCTCTCGAATGGGCTAGTAATAATCAATGGGACCTTTAGTCATGCTTGATATCGACAGTATATCTGTAGTCTCTTTTGTTAGAATTAAAATTGTTCTTGTTAGTTAACCAGAGTTTCGAGTGAATCACTTCCTCGTCTCTCTCCTCACCTCTGCTCCGAATCCACCCGCTTACTCGCCACTGCTCGTGAGACGTAAAGTCGCAATTTCCGAGTCCTGCGAGACTTGGTGGTGTCACATCCTGACGTGGTGTCAGAGACACCGACCCTACAGTCACAAAATAAAAATAAATAACTAAAACATTAACACAACTGTGATTAATTCCTTAACTGTTCATTCCTTTTTATACTAAAGTATTCAGATTATGCCTGCTCTCCATACTGCTGAAACTTTACTCGATTCTCTAAAGTTTATTAGTTGTCCTTCCTGATTGGTCTTGTATATTTGCCATGCATCTACGTATTTCAGGTGTCTGTTTTCCTGAATCTTTTGTATTATTTTAGCTCTTTTCCAATCCATTACTACCTCTGTCGGGTCTGCTATAACATACATCGCGAGTGTGATAACTGGTTACTCGTTCTGTAGTTCCTTTTATGTTCTTTTAACCTTTCTTTTAATGGCCTCCCTGCGGCTCCGATGTAGTAAAGCTCTTTTTGATACTTTTTGTCTTGTACGGGTATTCTATAAATTTCTGCAATAAGGCTCTGGTCTATTGCTTTTCGTCTTGTCAGTCAGAAACAAGCAGCCAGTCATTGCACTAGCAACGTATGTTATAGCACACCCAACAGAGGTAGTAGTGGATTGGGAAAGAGCTAAAATAATACAAAAGATTCAGGACAAGAGACACCTTAAATATGCAAAAGCATGGCAAATACACAAGATCAACCAGGAAGGACAAGTAATAAACTTTAGAGAATTGAGTAAAGTCTCAGAAGCATGGAGAACAGGCATAATATGAATACTTTAGTATAAAAAGAGATGAATGGTTAAGGAATTAATCACAATTGTGTTAATGTTTTAGTTATTTATATTTAATTTTTATTTAATTTTATTTAGTTATTTATTATTTTATATTTATGTATCATTTATATATATATATATATATTTGTACAAGTAACCCATACATATTGTATTTTTATGGGCTTGTGCACTAGACAGCTATGAAAATTCAAATATTTAAAATTGTTCCATAACAAACTTTGTTTTATAAAAATTGAATGATTTCGATTTTTATTCCTAAGAAAGGTCATTCAAACAAACAAAAACATTCAATTAGTTAATAAAAAGCTGCATTTTAAAGGTTTTTTTGTCAATGTTTGATTCCAATAATAGACCAAGGTACCACGATGACTTACAGTACATTGATTCCACCACTTGCTCTCTATGTATTATTTCAGGACTACAAAAACAATTGATGGAACAATATCAGCAACAAAACACACTACTTTCCCATCCATTATTGTCTCGGACAACATCCATGACAATCTACAAAACACCTCCATTGTTACTCGAACTAGGCAAATTGATAACATCAGGGCTCATGAGTTACTAGAAAGTTATAAAGCCAAAAAGAAGAAGAGTATTTATTAACTTCAAACATGAGAATCATTTGTCCTACACAAGGCAGGCAAAACTTTAATAGCTATTATAACAAAATGCTATTATAACAGAAATATTAAAGCAAAATTATTTTACAAAATATCCCATAAAAATGTTTTTAGTATTTTATTTACAATTTGTGACCATTTCATGCATGTTATTGATCAATTTTGTGATACTCATGCCTCACGCAATTTAAAATTATAAATGTATTTGAAAATGCAATGATATTCAAAATGCATTGATTTTAACGATATTCAGAAAGTATTCCAATTCAAAACCTTTGACCTAAATTTATCTTTTTTATGCATAGTGCAGTACTGAACATACTATACATCAGAGAATACTGTATGTTGATTTTATGTTTCCTATGTTACCTTGTTTACTATATTTATGTACAAATAATGTCAATGAAAATTGATGTTAGAATAAAAAAGTTTGTGTTTCTTTTGTAAATTACTTACTGTTTTGTTCCAATAAAGTTGTGGATCCTGTCAAACATTTTTCTACAGGATGTATGTACTGTACTTTGTATGAATTTTTTTTTACACTGCATTTTTCAGAACATATCCACCATGCAAAAAGTGAGATAGGTGTATATAAATTTCCCCTTGCTAGAATGATTAAAATTAATCTTTATTTATATTTTTAGTAATATTTTCCTTACGGATCAAAACTATCCCATTCCTCAGCAACTTCTGCTTCTTCAGGCGATGGATATTCTGCATTATAAACAGTTACGTGGTGTGCACATGGTTCAGAAATAGGTAATGGTTTCTTAATTACATCATCACCTTTTAAGCTTCCATTCAGATTTCCTGTATAAAATACAAGTATTGCATAAAGTAAATGAATAGTAATTTAATATTTACAAAATATCAAAACTTTATATTTAAAAGCCAAGCAATCTGCCAAATTATCAGGAAATTTTTAGGCTACATTTAATAATTAGTTACAATTAATTCAACCAGAGGTAGGCAGATATGCTACCTTCTCATATTAACTTCAATAATTATAATAAATTAATTTATAATGTTGATTATGCTTTATCACTTTGGCACCTGAATTCTTTATTTAAAAGTGATATAATACAGAATACATTTATTCTAAAAATTATTTAAACAAAATTATAACATTGTGATGCAAGAACAAGTTTATTGTTTGAAGTTCAAAATTTTCAGTTTTAAAAGACTGTTTAATATCAATAAACCATAACAAACCAAGCAAATTATAAAATAAGTGGTGGCTTAAAATGGAAATTATATTGAATGAATTTGTTTATCTGGAGTTTTTTTTTAATCAAAGTTGGCAACAATATTTAGTAATGAGTAATGTCTTTGATAATGTGTTAATTAAACCAAGATATATTAAGTTTATCTAATTATAAATATTGGATGGTACCAAAGGTTTTTTCTTTTTCTTTTTCTCAAATCAGGCACTCCCCTAGTTACAAACATATTAGGTTCCCACAGTTATGTCATAAGTCAAAACTAAACTAGAAATAACATTTGTACACAGAATAACCACTTATTGTTAGTGTTTGATCCTTCAATGTACTTATTAAAATACATTACACTCATTTACCCACTTGCTACTGATTAGTAGCAAGTGTTTCAAATGTGGTTTATTTCATCTAACTAACTTAGTTTTATAGTGTCAAGCTTAGTTTGCACAGTAACAGAGCCACACTTTTTGCATTTATCTCCACTGCTACATTTAATATTGTTTTGGATATATTTTTGAACCATTAATCATAAAAGTTTATAAAAATTTGCAAACAATAGCAAAAATGCCTTTATTCCAATGTTACCGACTTTGATGCCTCCACAGAAGTGGTGATGGAACATCAGAATTTGCACAAAAACAAAAAAATACAATATACAATAGAAATAAATCCACATTAATTATTTATTAAAAATGTATTACTTATTACTAGCTAAAGACAGACTTCAACACTAGCCTACTAAGGAAAAGAGAACTTTGGAATTAATGGAAAATTTAAATTGTACGCATACAGTCAAATTGTTCATAAGTCTAAAAGTTTGTAAAGTGAATGTTCATAAGCAGGGGAATGCCTGCAATTCTGGGCATCACAGTCCAATGCTGTTTCACAATCTTCCATTTCACAAATTTTGCAAGCAGTTCAGTATCTTTAAGGCCCATCATAAAACAGGCCTCAAAATTGACAAAATTTCAATATTTGTATTTGCCATTTTAACTTCTGAAACTACGAAAAAACCCACATACTATTGATGGTAAAAACAAAGAAATACATGAACTTTCTAATGAGATATTGTGATTGTATACAATCCAATATCTATACATGCAATAGTCTTAGAAGTATAGGTCTATTTTCAAAAACAAAAATACCCTTGATACATCCCAATTGTAGGGATAAATTCCAGATACCCATTTTTGTACTCAAGTCCTCAGGTATTCATTTAAAAGAATATGTATACTTGACAATTGTAAACAAACAGTTTTATAAACAATTAACTTATAGAAAATGCTTATTAACCTATTTAGCTGTTTTTAACTGAATGTTCATTCAAATGAATTATCATTTTCTATTTTTAAAATTCACTTCTGCAAACTAAAATTTTTAATTAGTTAGAAAATTGTTAATTAAAGAAAGATATCTTTTTAGAATCATTAAACAATTAAGATTTAAAATAAAATGTCCTAAGGCCAAATAATCTGCTGGATTATATCAAGCTATAATATGGCTACTAATTTATAATTATTGAATTTATCAAGAGATGGTGCCTAACACCTACCTCTAGGCAAAATTATTAAATATTTAGTAATGTTATACCCAATATAATATTGTAAATTGTTTGGTCTTAATCAAAACTTGAGTAAATAGATGTTTATAAAATGTTTTATTAAATAAACATAATTTATTCCCCAAACAATTGCTGGATTATATTGAGATAAATTAATGCTACTATTAATATAGCCAATATAAATATGGACTATTATTAGTATAATTATTATAGCCTGATATAATCCAACAATTGTTTGGAATTAATCTTAAAGATCAAGTTATTCAATGTTTATATTTGTAAAATAATTTATTCTATCATTAATCCAAAATACTAAAATTAGATGACTTTGATAAGAAGTAAACCATAAGTAAACTAAGAAATTAACATTAATTCAAGAACACAAATTACCTTTGCTAGCAAATAAAAAACCTAATTTAAGTGACTTTTTAACCATTCCCCATGATTTATGAGGCTGAACATTCACTTGGAACTATAAAGGAGGTATCTAAGAAAGATAAAGTTGTTGCTGATTGTTTATTTGATATTTCTGGTATGGACATAAGATCTGCTTGAGATCCACTCAACCAGTCCCAATCCCGATAAAAGAGGAGAATTAGTGTCAGGAAGGGCATCCAGCATAAAGCTTTTGCCAAAATTCAAATCATGGAGATCATTAAGAGAAATAATGTAGTTCAAGCCCCAAAGTCAACATGCAGGGGCTTTGCCTGACTCCTGTGAGAAATGGACTAAGACCACAGTATCAAGAGTTGATAAAGGTAAAGAAAGAATCAATGTCCTGAGCTTTAAATTGGTACCTTAATATGGGAACAATAACAGGGACAAGTAGGATGATGAAAATAAGAAAGTACTAGTTCTTTGTGTGCAGGAGCAGTGGTGTGCTGTCCATGGAAGTCCTGTAATTAGCTTTGCTCGGTATAGAGCGAGAAGAAACGGAAAAACTGATTTTGAAAACATCATTGATATCTTTGCATCACAGAAGGCCAGGAAGCTGCAATTGTAAGTGTAAAGGATTTACAGACTCACTTTCGTTATAAAATAGAAAATAAATATGTTTTGTAAATAAGATTTATGACTGTTTTATTTAGTGTATCTGTTTTTTATATTAAGATAATTTACGAAGAGGCGCAACTTTGATGCGTGCCCTAGGAGCCATTTTTGATTGGTATGCCCCTGCTCAAGATCCAAGTTTCAGCACAGTAGAGGAAAACACTCCAGATGTAGCATTTGAACATTTTCTCAATTCTAATTTCAGAAGCTCACACAAAATTGTTTTTATTCTGTTAAATGCCTCTTTTGCCATACCAATTCTCCTCTTGATTTCTTTCCCACTCACAAGCCAAGCACACAGGTATCTAACCTGTTCACTTGTTCCATTTTATCACCATTTATATGGATGTTGGCCTTTCCTTTTCTCAGATCCAAAGCATTTTAGTTTTGTTAACATCAATTTTCATTTTGTAGGCCACACATCCCCTCTCTAGTCCACTCTGGATCTTTCTCATTTTACCCTCACTCTCCACCAGAATTGCTATATCATTAGCATACCTTAGGCACTGAATCTGCCTTCCCTGATTTTATTGTTTTTCTCTTCCTCTAGATCATCCTTTCTCAAAGTGAGTGATAACGCCCCCTTGTGGGCACTGGAGGCTTTCAGGGGAGCAGTAGAAGGCTCACTGATTAAATATGAGTTTTATTTCTTCTCATTGAAACATTCTTTGATCTCAGAAATAGGATATGGGTCACACCCTATCTGTCCTATCCATATAATAATACATGTTTAAACATTATATTTGCAATAACTGTTTTTAAGATAACAGATGGTAATGTAAAAAAGTAAGTTAAAAAATATGGGGCACTAGATTTTTTTTTAATCTCAAAGTGGGCGGTGGTCGAAATAAGTTTGAGAACCTGTGCTCTAGATATTCCATAATCATCTATTCCAAGTATATGTTGAAAAGAAGCGGTGATAGGCAACACCCCTGCCTAACACCCTTTTCATTTTTGACTTCTTCCCTGTATTGACCATCCACTTTAACTACTGATCTCTGATATTTGTATAAGTTTAGTATAAATTTCCTGTCCTTCCAATTTATTCTTTCCTTTCAAAATGTCCACCAATCTTTTCCAGTCAATTTTGTCAAACACTTTTTCTAGGTCTATAAAACACGCCATTTCCTTTCCTTTTTCAATGTATCATTCTCATATGGTTCTCAGCACCCCTATCACATCTCTAGTGTCTCTTATCTTTCTGAACTCAAACTGTTCTTTCCTTGTGGATGGATTCAGTTTTCCATAGAGGTGAGTCTCTAATAAGAAGTGTTTCTTAAAAGGATTTTTGAGGTATGGCAGATCAGGCTAACTGTTCTATAACCTTCACATTTGATTGTTTTATCTTCCTTTGGAATGGAAATAAAAATACAGTAATACCCCACCGAGCGGTAACCGCGTAAGTCGAATTCGCGTAAGTCGGGGTATAATTTCGCATATAAATACATACAAATAATTTTTAATTGGGGCCGGAGACTAAAGAAAACAATAATTTAGAAAAAAATGTTTAATAAAATCTTAGATAATACATATAACAAATTAGGCCTATATTATTTTACAATTTTTCACATTTACTTGATTATTACGCCATAATTTTAACATTGTTTCCATCTCAGCGATAATACTGTGACGTTTACGAATGATGCTTGAACTTAAAGATTGAGCATTTTTCACAGCTTTGAGAATTTTTTCTTTGCCTTTTATAATTGTTCTGACCAACAATTCCGGTAGATCAAACTTCTTTGCCAATTCACAAATTTTCATTTTTGTATTGAAGTCTTTAATAATGGGTACGTTCGTAAAGTCAAACGAGTTAAACGTGTTAGTAACGAATTGTTCGAAAAATCTAACGAAATAGGAATAACGATGACGTCATTCTCGCTTAACTCGTTCGACTTTACGATCATACCCAATGTTAACTTTACATTCCAAAGATAAAGTTTTTCTTTTCTTGTTTGATGCAGAAGAATTAATTCTACTTC